AAGAATATCACAATTCACGGTATCGAAGGCCTTTCTTAAGTCCACAAATACAACCCCCGTATACTCTTTCTTATCAGTTGCGTGAAGCCAGTCATCAGTTACTTTTAGGAGAGTGGTAATAGTTGAGTGACGTGGCCTGAAACCAGATTGGGCGGCTGACAAGATATTGTTCTCATGTAGAAACTCCAAAACTTGTCTTTGGACAACCCGTTCCAGTATTTTAGATACGCAGGGCAAAATTGAGATGGGCCGATAATTTGAAGGAGAGCTCTTATCGCCACTTTTGTGAATTGGGATAATCTTGGACCTTTTCCATTGTTGAGGAAATTTACCGCTCAACAAAGAGCGGTTGATCAGGTTAGCAATACTCTGTGAAATCTCGGTAGCACATGCTTTTAAAACAAAAACTGATATTTTATCTACACCTACAGATTTAGTATTTTTCAATTTGTTTATAACTCCCAACACATCATTTTCGGTTACAAGGGTAAACTCAAAACTCTTGATTAATGGTATATTGTTTTCTATGGGGAGAGGCGTATCAGGAATTTCTTTTGCTAAATTACTTCCTACTTCAGCAAAGAAGGTATTGAAAAGATTAGCAGTATCAACATTACTTTCTGAATTAAGCGCAACTATTGGCGTGTCACGTTTCTTATTTGGAATGATAGATTTTAATGTCTTCCAAGTCTGTTTTGGATTAGCACTAGAAAGTGAGAATTTATCAGAGTAGTATTTTCTCTTTGCTTTTCTTACATCAGTAGTAACTTTATTACGTAGTACTCTATATTCACACATGAGTTTTTCATCTTTAAGTTTACACGCTCTCCGTTTCAGTTTGTCACGCTTTTTCATGAGTTTATAAATACCTGCATTCATCCACGGAGAGCCCCTAGTACTTATTCTTTTTGAACGATATGGCATGTGTTTGTCAACAACTTCTAACAACAGATTTTGCCATAATTCAACAGCTTCATCAATTGAATTGCACTGATTTATATACTCCCATTTCTGGTTGCGAATATCATTTCTAAACTCATTACCATTAAGTTTGCTGCAACTTCTAAAGTTAATAAATCTGGGGTGTGATGAAACATTGGCATTCCAAATTAAAAAACTAATAGAATGGTCACTCATTCCATTATGAAGTACTCCATAACTCTTTACGTTTGGGGAGTTATTAGTTAAGAGATGATCAATCAATGTAGCAGAAGCATTTGTAATTCTGGTTGCTTCATTTGTGTTAACTTGAACTAGAGAATACATATCATTGATATCCATATATTTCTTACTCATACTCGATAAAGGTTTGGCCAGTAGGTCATAGTTTACATCTCCTACTAAAATTGTGTCACAGTTCGTTATGTCAATAAAGCTAAGAAACAGCTCATATAAATTAAAGATTCCAACGTCTGAAGAGGGCGGTCTATACCAAGTTGATATGACAAGGGGGTTTGCAAGCTTAAGATACACCTTTATTACAATTGCTTCTAAATCATCTAAAGTTTCATGCGTTAGTTTCTCAAAATGTAGAGATTTGTGAAGATATATGGCGACCCCGCCTCCCTGTCTATTTCTGTCTTTCCGAACCAAGTTAAAATTGTCAATCATGACTTCATCATCATAAATAGATGCATCTATTTTGGTTTCATTTACAGCAAAAACCTGAATGTTATTTGATTTTACAAATGTCCTTACTTCTTCAATATGTTTGAGAAGACTATTAACATTTAATTGAGCAATCTTAAGACCATTACCTTGCAATTCATGGTAGTATAAACCCCTAGAGGTGTCCATTCTTGTGCTATTTGCTTTAACATGGACATTATTTAACTCTGGATTAATGGAAAGACCCAGTTCATTATAGAAAGGTAATTCCTTAAGAATACAAATGTTACATTGCCAGCCAAAGAAATCCTCTGACGGATCATCATAGATTTGGGAGGAAATACCAGCACAAATGATGTGAAGCCATTGGTTACATTTAGTACACTTCAATCCCTTTTGATTATTTTTAACAGGTTTCATACAACAGGCACATGGGTAATTGTAGACGTTAAAGACCATACGTAAACAGTTCAAATTACAGTTTTAAAAAAAAGATACAATATTATTTAATATTACAAAAAAAAAAACAAAAAAAAAATACAGTCAGTTCGAGTTCTTCAATCTACTTTTAAAAGATCGGTTAGGAATAAGGAAATCAATCGATCGTAGACCATGTCTCATTGTATCTGCAAAGAATTAATTCACTTATAGCAGTGCATGGTGAGTGGCGTGAAAAAGAGAGTTTGTCCGGTATTTTCAATCGGTGGTTGTCATTCGAAGCACTGACCCGTTCGTCGAGAGCTATCTGTACGTAGAGCGATTCACGATCCGAGAAAACCTATTGCCGCGGAGATGGAAAGCTCGTTGGTCGGATTAGTTCCATAGTTACTTGACGAGTGGGTCACTGTATTCTTCCCTAGGTTTAGTGATGCGTGAACCACAGACTAGCTATACACCCAGGATAAGAAGATTACGTCTATACACACACATTGCGATAGCTCCAATTAAGTTGGCATCATTACACAGGCATGAACTTCGGGCCACTTAAAAAGCTCTCCTCCAACAAAAGAGGAGGGGCTAACTGAATAATGGAGAGGATCCATCCACACCAGCTTAGCGTTAAGACGAGCGCTTAGTTCATTCTTGTAGGATGATGGCTAATGAAGAAGAATTCAAGCTTTGCTCAATTTGTGTAGGTCACCTTCCGTAGTCATGGTGATTCGCTTTTTCGTTTGTTTTGATATGGCAAGGATGCGGCCATCTTGGGTCCATAATGCCTCAACCTGTTCCCTGTACTTCGTTTTCACCTTCCAGAAAAGCTCCGTTCGTCTTCTTGTCAGACTTTCATGGATATAGATTGCCTCATCCTGACAATGACGCAATTTTCTCCTATTTCTGTAGATTTTCTCTCGTACATGGTAATTTGTGAACTTTACAATCACACCTCTATTTCTCTTCTCTTTACTCTGACCCAATCTATGGCTTCTGTCAATTTCTCTGGCATCTAAAGCAATGTCTAACTTCTCGGCACACATTTTGATGATAGTTTCGTTAGTGTTTTCGTTCAATTCCTCTTTTATTCCGTTGAATATCAAGGAATTCCTTCTAGAGTATTGTTCCGACTCATCCTGTTGATCTAATAACGATTGCATCTTTGTTTCTAAAACAGTTATTTGAGTGTCTCTCGCCTGCAATTCAAAGTCAATATATTCGCGTAAGTTTTCTGAAACTTTCTTCGTAATCATTGGTGTAATTTCTTCTATCAAAGTTTTCTTAAGTACACTCACCAGCTTATTTATCAAAGTGTCACTCTCCAGGGCTCTGTTCAGTTCATCCCTTATGCTATTCGTAAGCTCTTCAGCTTGCAGTTTCAAGCTGCGAGTTGTAGTCATCGCGAAAAGATGATATACAGGTCTCCAAAAATCCAAAGATTAGATAAAAATCAAGTCCAAGAACATCAGCATACGGAGGTGAACACTTAGAGCTGGTAGTTAAAATTACAAATTACACTGATATGCACGCTATATCGAGGGATAATACACGGTCTATCGGTCTATCGGTTTGACGGAGCGCTTTAAAAAACACGTCCGTTCATGTCAAAACGGTAATGGGGGGGGGGGGGGTAACAGGCTGGCGGGAAAAAAAGGATTTTGGTTCATTTTGACATGTAGGCTAATCATTCTTAGCCGAGTAACATTTCTTTGAGAATATACAGAGTAAAAATAGTTTTACTCATCACCAGAACCACCACTGTATGGGCAGAAACATTTCGCTTCAATTCAGTGTTTTTTAAAAGGTAAACTTATTTACTTGATTTATATTATGTTATGATTGTATATGTATTAACTTTTTGTGAATAATATATATATTTATATATGTACCTAGTTCGTATATTACTTTTTTATTATCCTAAAAATATGCAGAAATGAAATCGAACAAACAAACAATAATTCATCCGTGTGCATATCCTATAGCCTTTTCTTTTGCTTACATATTTTTTATAATTTACATGTACAATGTACTCTTTCTCAAAACCACTCTTCTGTCATAAGCTCTTCATTCTCCACAATGTGCTGCATCGAAAATATATGGTTATTTACTCCCAGCGGATATATATATCCCCAAATCGATAATGGCGGCTTTGGGGTAAAAAAAATGTCAATTGATTCCGACTCAAATTGAGCGACAAATTGAATTTGCCTCTTGACGACACCATGAATAATGTATAATCCTATTTTCTATTCCAAGGACAAAACAGCCCGAACGCCGAGGCGGCAGTACGCCTCCTCCACCCCTCCCACGGTGCCGACGATGGCAAAGAAAGTGTGAATAATCACATTTTTCGGATATCAAACCACGGTCAATACAGCGGGGATAATTAATCCCCCAGTTATTTAAGCCTGATATCATTTCGATTATGTTCAAATGTATTCTGGGTCAACGCGCCACTTTCCACTGGTTTCCAGCGCCAAACCGCAATGCACTTATACCTACGCAATTGGAATATTTGTATGTTAAGATGTCAGGCGGAAACCACACATTAGCTGTGGTTTGAATAACAAATAAAAGACATTCCTTGAATAATTAAGCGCGCTATTATGGTAGCTCGATCGGCTAAAGCCGTTATACACTGTAATAATATGATTGCAGGGCCATCAGGGAGAACAATAATCGTTTAGTTTGCTTTTTTCTGTTATTATGTCTTTTTATTCCTTGAATTTTATTTGTTGGCACATAAAAATGCAGGTACATGCCATTTTTTTTTTTTTTTTTTTTTTTTTTTTTAGCGATCGGGGGGGGGGGGGGGAGAATGGAGGGGTCTCCCCTTTTCCCTCCACCCCCCCCCCTCCCCCACCACCACTCTCCCGTCAGCTCCTGTGCGCGCAATGCCGTTACCCCATTCCCGATGTTTCGAAGGGAGTTCCTATGAACGAAACTAATATTGCTCTTACCGTGATAGGGAGGGTCATCGTCTACAAAGGTATAGTTGACGAAACTATCTAGGCAGTCCTGTTCGTTCCTCAACATGCCTTCGTTACCGAAAGAGCTTTCCATGTCCTGCGAGCTGACGGCAGGCACTCCCCCGGCCATCACCGCAATGGTTATCAACGTCTGCAGCATCTACGAGAAAAAAAAAATGAAAAGATAACAGTGTTAACAAGATCAATAATTAGCGATGGTATCCTTTTTGAAACTATAACATTTTGGGCTAATTTTTGGAATTTGGATAATAGTGATGGTAGTTATAATACAATGTAATAATTAATCTGGATTTATAGAGCACTTAATACGGAATACGGCTTAAAGGGATCCGGTAACTTTGTCTCAGATTCTTAAACAAAATTCTGGATTTAGCTCATGCTGCAATGATAATTATAAACCTTTAGGTCAGTCAATAACCCCGTGACTTTTACAAGCCGATCGCCTGTCTGATTATCAAGATATTTATATTTGTAATTACAAATTTTGAAAACCGTTTACGGTTTTCATAACAATACACTCATTTGGGGGAAACGAGTATGGTAAAACCGGTCACTCAAAGATTGTTTACTTTTTTCAGGCACTTCTTGATCATTTTGAAGCGCATTTTTTTTAGGGCTTCAATATTACATTATATCGCAGACACTGATAACACGTAGGGCCGTGTATCTCAGAATTAACATTGTTACACGATCCCTTTAAGGGGGATGTTGTTCTGTGATGCAGCTACTGCCAAGCAGTCAGTAACGAATGTCATGCCTGCAGTTTTGACCAATCAGAGGCCTAGAAAGAGGTATCAGAGGTATATCAAAAAGAAGGCATAATGTCTAGAAAGGCACATTGCTTGAAAAGTATAGACAGCGGCATATATGTTACATCTTTGCCTTTCATGAGGATTTGAGCTGTAGATTGAGTTACCCATGATTCAACGCTTGACGCCAAATATCCGGGTCACAACTAGAGGGTCTTATACAGCCCGATTGGGGGCTATCCAGGGTACTAAATCTCAGTGGAACCAATCAAAATCGATAGGTATTCTCGAACAACAGTATTGATCTGATTCTGACAGGCCGGGAAGGTTTTAAGATTCGTACAATCGTTTGATATACTCAGGAGAAGTTTGGAACGGGGTGTGCGACATGTTTCATTCTCAAACTCTGCTCAGACATTTGAATTAAATAGAACGTCCTTAGCTTATTGATTCAAACTTTAAAAACAAAAAATAGCTTTAAAATGTATGTAAAAAGCAGCTAGATATAATAAACAGGACATAATGTGCAAGCCTTAACCTATAAATCTGACAATTAAGACATGGTTCTCAGGATGGTTTGTGCCCCCCAAAAAACACACACAGGCCTTCTCAAACAATAACCAAGGACTCTCTTTCTTGATATCTAGCCAGCATCTGTTTTCTTCTTCAGTGCTAGCTGCAAGAGACCAAGATAGGAATTCCTTCATCAGACTTGCATATTGTCTGGGGTTAATGAGAAGGAGGGCAAGCCTTTAACCGTCAAAGGAGAAAGGATCATACCGCCACACCTATTTAGGTCTCATCTCCATCATTCAGCTTTTAATCTCAATTCGGTCGCTCTACTCTTCAATGTTATTGCATCTTAATTAGCCGATGTGTTAATGTAGTGCATCGCGATGTTCCACTTAAAGTGACTCGGTAACATTGCCTCAGATTCTGAAACAAAATGCTGGATTTAGCTCATGCTGCAATCACAATTATAATCCTTTAGGTCAGTCAGGAATCCCATGGCTTTTACACGCCGATCGCCTGTCTGATTATCAAGATATTTATGATGGGAAATTTCTAACGGTTTTTATATTACGACGGTCAATTGGGAAAAATGAGAATAGTAAAACCGGTCACTCAAAGTGTTTTACTTTTTTGAGGCACTTCATGATCATTTTGAAGCGCAATTTTGTTAGGGCTTTAGTATTACACCTTATCGCAGACACTCATAACACGTAGGGCCATGCATCTCAGGTTTAGCATTGTTAAACGATGCCTTTAAGATCTGGGAATTCAATTAAAAGGCGGTAAGTCCATGATTAAAGCTACTAGAAGATATTGAAAAAGTGAAAACATTTTGTAGAAGGAGGGGAGAGTCATACAGCATGGGTTGGGGGGGGGGGGGGGCCTGGAGAGATGGTAATGGACTACGGGGTAATGAAGTATAGCACTTTCGCTATGTTCACAATCAACAAAGCGGTAGCCCCAAAGTCTGAATTCATGGGTAAAATTGCTCTCAGTCATGTCAGTTTGGAGCCAAAACAAACAAGGCTGGTGTTTACACAGAGAATTTCATCAACGAAATCATACAATTAATCGCTCAAGACCGACCATGTTGGTAGGTGATTATTCATCGCCATTGGAATTACGTTGTAAAACATCATTTCTTATAATCAGTCTGCCTGCCTTCCGAATTCATTAAGCAATATTAATTGAATTTGTATTAGTAAACCTAAGTTGTAAATACTTTGCCTTAAGTGTTAACTGGCCTAAAACTACAAATATGAATACTCGTCTATGCCACATTGTTTAATATTCTTACATTGAACGAAAAATTACGAACGCATGTGGGGGTTAAAATTTGTTCAATTTCAATTATTTTAAAACTAAAAACATATATTTGGTGTTGTTTGCGATGACATGGTCAATTGATTTGTTCCTTAATTTAATGAAAGCTATTGAAATTGATAATTATGAAATATCAATCATTCTAAGTATTCGAATACAAAACCATCCATAGGCCTTCCCTCTACACCAACAACAGACAGAAAAGCCTATCGCTATGCAGACCTGACATGCACACTTCGCCAAAAGGGCATCCGGCAAATTTGCAAAAAGTAATACAAGGTAATACACTGGAAGCACATAGGATTGACCGCCGAGAGCAAATCACTTTAAATAATAATTAAATCTATCGAATATGATGTTATTAGAAATATGATACTTCATGTATATCAAGGGTTTGTGTTTACATTGAAACCTGGCCAAAGGGCTGGGAAAGACGACACCGTATGCATCGGGTTTCTGCAGTTCATGTCCTTGGCAAAATATTATCCTGTCCAGAAACACCGCAAGGATGCATGGACCATGTTGCAGTTGTTGTTGTTGTAGTTATTTTTATGATTTTTTTTCTCGTTGGAAACACACCATGCTGCATTGAGGTAAGTAGTTCACGGTGTTGAGTTGGAACTATATTATTTGATTAATTATTTAACGTCAGACTACAATGTTGTGTTTACGTCCTTGACAGAATATTAGACCGTCCAGAAACATCAAACGAATGCATGCACAATATTGCAGTTGCTGCTCGGGTTGAAATTTCATGATCCTGGTTTAATCACACGCAACAAAAATTGGTTTATAATAACAACACTCACTAGTGCAGATCACAAGGTCGGCTAATCTTGAATGTTTTCTGCAACGGCCAGAATATAAATGAAAATTATTTTAAATCTATGGCAGATATTCTTTGAGAACTGGCTTAGCACTAGCCGGAGTAGGTATATGAAAAGTACAATAGCTTGAAGTTGATTTGAAATAAGTGGTGGCTGCATCTTGATGTTTAAATTGTTATTCAATGATTCACGTCTAAGTCATTCTATCAAACATTTACCTATTTAAGAAGTACAAATAACGATAATAAAATGATTATATATTACAATGCAGGAATACCGAGAAAATATATACGAAAATAAAGACGAGTGAGAAAAGGGTTAATACATTTAAAAAGCTGAATAGTAAAGGTGTGGTTGCAAACAAGAAAATTAAAAAAACAACGAAAAAATGAAAAAAATAACAAAGAAAAAGAACGAAAACAAAAAGAAGAACAAAACATGAAATTGAGAAGAGTCTCGTGTAATTAAGAAATGGATCTAAAAGTAATCTCAGAGATATTGAAAAAAAAACACAGACAAAAAAAGGCAAGAAAGGAATGGCGAAGAAGCAACAAAAAGCAAAGACAGGGGGAGCTCCAAAAACACAGTTTTAAAAAAGACCGTGTGGTAGTAGGGCGATTGGCAGGGTTGTTGATTCAGAATTCCCGGGGAGCGTTCCCGCGAGATACGACTGCTCGCATCGCTGGCTTCCCCTAGGGAATGGCTGGTCTTTTGACAAATCAAGTTTCTGATGTTCATGGCACTGGAAATTTTCAAGAACTCTCGTCCCTTAGATGATCTCAAAGCTATTTATAACGAAACCACCAAAGGCCGAGATTATTATTTTTTAGTCTGTAGATTCGTTCGAGTGCCACAGGGTAAAAGAGGTCAGACCATGATGATATTATTTTCGCATTGAGGTCAGAGGCTATTGAAAGGGACAGTCTTGTTAAAGGTCGCGATTAAAAGAAATGTAATGCAATCGAGCAGAACGACCCGGCAACTGCAATTTGTATTTCTCTGATTAAAGATAACTTGAGTTCTCACAGAATCAAACGAAACTTACACTGAATGTTCAAGATTACAAACATGACTGTGCCAAACAATTTTGGTAGAAAATGTATACTGGCTGAGTAATGAGCATAGAAAGACAAGGAAATCAAGGTAGTACCAGCCCCGACACCATGTGTGTTGTCCCATATATAGCTTTCCGTGTACAGCGCTTGTTACTTTACCAAGACTCGGTCAAATTTATTATGATTTTGATGACTCCAGAACCTTGCAGTGCACACCAATACTTACATGCTACATGATCAACTGTTTCTGATCCTTTCCACACCTTTTCTTTCACAATGCAATCGCATTACCAGTTCTTAAGTTTATCTTTAATATATAACGATAATAATTATTTTTTTCATGAAGGCCCAACACAATTTCGATGTTAAAATAGACTTGTGATTAATGTAAGCCTATGAATACTACCAAGAGGGCTTTATATCCTGTCTCTTATTGTGTGTGTCTTTTCCCTTGTGGTTTCTTCATTTTGTTTGTATATTAATATGAAACAATCGTGCAATACGGATAATGGGCACAAGTTCCTCTTGTATGTACTTTAACGTCATTTTGTCATTTTGCTTAGCCACGTTACCGGCTGCATTCTACCCCTATTCCAAGTATAATGTATAGATATAATTCACAATGGCGTAGTGTATAGGCCTGGGTCGTCACTGAGAGGGTACTTCC